TCAAAATAAAATACTTAATTAATGTAATGATTAATTAAGAAAATGTATGTCATAAAAAATTTGATAGAGAATTTGGTCATGTTTTTATCATGCTTCGAAATGGAAATGCAAAATTAATATTTGATATAGTAATAGTACTTTGAGTGCATGTTATAAATTTTTATAAAGTCGAAATCTGTTGGAATTTATTCAGTGTTTTGTTTGGCTTTGTCGACTTGTTGGTCGACTAGAGTAAAGTTGACATAGAAGTTGTCGTTCGTTGATATGTCTGACTATTTGGCTTTGTCAACTTGTTCGTCCATACAATTAAAGTTGACAGAAAAGTCAACATCTGTTAAAATGTTTGGTTGTTTGGCCTCGTCGACTTAGTCGTCGCCTGGATAAAGTCGACAGAAAAGTCAACGGCCGAAACCTAAGAAAATCAAAATAAAATAAAATAAATTCTTGTGTGCAGAATTTTTGTGAATGCATCACATATTAATTATTTATTTTGGGTTAATCAAATAAAGAACTTTGATCCTAATAAAGTGCTAATTTTGTGTATTTGTATTTGTTACATGGAATATTTAATTGCATAAATGAATTTACAATTTATATAATAATTCCATGTGATACATAGTATGAGAATAGTGATATAGTTATGAATTTATATCATGTGTGTTAATATATGATTTGAAATTCATGTCTTACTCTATGTTTGAGTTGTTTATGTCAATACTTTAAAATTTCTATGAGATCTCAAAGAAAAAAAGGAGATTATATGTTTAGAAACTTAGAACTCTTTATATATAATAAAAGAGTTTGAAGAGAATGAAAAATTCTCTATTAAAGTTAAAAAGGAGAATTATCCTTGACCTAAGTCCACATTGTGAAAAATGGACAAAGCATCAAGTCCACATTCGAAATCATATCAACTAAAATAACAATGATCAGGTATTAGGAAAGCTACCATATTGTAACAAAGAATGACACTAAGAGCTCAAGTGTAAAATGCTTGTAACAAGAGAAATGGAGCTAATTTTTCCAGGAATATGAAGAAAGAAATCGCGACATGGTGATTTCAAAACTTCATATTAGGGAAGATGATTTTATTGTTGGGTTGATTGCGAAGTTTGAAAGAACAAACTGGTTCTTCAATTTCCTAAATATGATCATATTAATTAACAGTTTGCATGCATTATTATTTAAATTGTGATCACAAGATGAGTTAATGAACTCAGGTTAAGAATTAAAATTCTTAACAAGATTTGAGTCAATAGACTCGTGTGAAGAGATGACCCTTAAAATTTGAGTTAACAAACTCATAAGTAAGGACTAAATATTGAAAGACATTTGGTCTAAAAACTGAATGACTTAAAGGGATATGTGTAAAGTCCAGAAATGATTACTTGCATTGAAATCTCAATTCAACGCTAGTAAATACTCTAGTTTTAAATTTAATGAGCGATAGTACAATGTACAAGTGATTGAGCACTATAATATTTATCCAAAAGTAATTAGTGCTGTATATTTCCAGCTGGGTATCAGGTTGAGAATTGACTCTTAACAAACTCTTGTAAATGTTAAAATGGTGGGAACATTAAGAAGTTTGTCTATATGAATATCGGACTGGGCATCCACAAATTTTGGAACTTGGCTTTGATAACATTCATGAAGAGATATGGGTACAAGACCTTACGTACCATACGCACTGGTAAGGTGCAGGCAAGTTGGGGAGAAAGAAACCTATGTGTGTTGACAATAGTGGCTCATAACATGTACGCACGATTCAAAGCTAGTCTACCGGGTTGTACTACAAGTTATGAAACCGACACTAAGGTAGTGGTTCAAGTCTAACGACACCATTATTTTATGCATGGGTTTTGCTGGAATTATTCTGGATCCATTTAAAAATCATTTTCAATATATTAAAAATGGCGGGGGATTGTTGGAGTTATTTTCAATATATTTCAGGAACACAATTAATATGTTGTGTCTATTGGGTGTTTTCAATATATTGTAGAGACACAACTAATAGGTTGTGCCTATGAACTCCATATGAAAAGACATTAACAAAAAGTTATGTCTAGTCTAATCCTCAAGAGTTTCTTCTAACTCTATAAATATGGATCATTTGGATGCTTTTAGTGTACAATGAAATTACCAAATACTTGGAATATTTTCAATGACATTTCAATAAAGTGCATAGTGAAACAACAAGATCTTCATTTTATCTCATAGGGAATTTGCCTAGACAATTGCACTGTGTACTGGGCGAACTTAGCCTAAAGGAAAACAAGTTTACTTGTGATTTGGAGACAAAACTTTCTTTTGTCCTAAATAAATTCTTTCTCTTGTTCTTTGTTCTAGTGCAACCATTGTTGTCCACTATTCTTGAAGTAGAATTTCAAAACAAGTTCGGGTGCGAAATTGGGGATTCATTAGTAGGTTAGCCATAACAAACCTCTAAAGGTGCCAATAGGCAAGGTGAGAGCCAACCCTCACTTTTTGTTAGAGTGGAGGATTGAACTCATGACTTACTCTTGGAGCAAGGGTGGTTTTACCACTTAACCAACTCTTCATTCGCTCCATCGTGACTTTTATTGTTATACTATTTCTTTGGTCCTTATCATAAGACATTTTGATTTGTCTTAAATTTAATTTATTGAAGTATTTTTTTAATTGAAAAATGAAACCTTAAAAAAGTATTTTCACATTCATTGTGTTCTCCTAATTATTATAAAATTTATTTTTCAATATGAAAAATATATTAAATGAAATTTAAGATAAATTAAAATACATCATAATAATAACCGGAAGGAGAGTTTGATAGTAACTTCAATTAAAGTCATTAACGATTTCACCGAGTGGCGAGTAGAATCTTTTGTAGACTACTTAAATACGTGATGGGGGTATTGTAAGAGACAGAGTGGCCTAACTGCCACGATCTTCTGAATATCAGTCCTTTGTCACTTTGATTCGTATAAAAAAAATATTAACGATTTAACTTAACCTTTGAAGTATTAAAGTCATTGAACACTTCAAGTCACATGAAACAATGGTACTCAGTTTTGATGGAATTACTTTGATTCTTCTACTCTATTTTTATAACTCTACTTTTATCTCTACTGACATGGCATTCCTACTTGGCATATCCACATCACCTCACTAAATTTATATTTTTATTTATTTTCTCTAAAAAACTAAAAGCAGAATTTAGCGTCAAAAAAATTTCTCCGTCCTCTTTTTTTCCATCATATCGTCAAATCAAAGTTCGGTTTTGTCTCCATCGCCAAATTCATCATCGGACTTCAACACTATCACTTCAATAATTTTTGCTTCTTGTTCTTACAATCGACAAGCACCTGAAATACAAAGGGCAATCGTATCTCTGGCTACGGTTATCGATCTGCGGCGGGACATTACTTGTGTTACGGTTTGAGAGGAGATCAACCAATTTTAGGTCAATTTCTAAGGTATTCTCATTTTATATGTCTTTATAACTTTTCACGATGGATTAATCAAAACTGATTCATTGCTTAAATAACATGCTATTTAATCATTGTAGATCCTCAATTGCAAAGTGACAGGAATAGATTGTTCACGGGCGAAGCTCAGCTTTTGGATTGTGAGGATTTGTTGATAATTTTTGTGAGGGCATAGAGACGGTCACTTTGAGAGAGATAAAATTCAATTCTCCGGCAAGAAATTTTACAGTGATGAATATTGGGTGTATTTTACATGGCTCCAAAATTTGATTCGACGATGGAAAAAAAAGACAGAACTTTTTTGCCCTGAATCCTGCTTTTAGTTTTTTAGATAAAATAAATAAAAATGTAAATTTAAGAGGTGACGTGGATGTGCCAAGTAAGAGTGCCCTGTCAATAGAAATAAAAGTAGAGTTATAAAAGTAGAGTGGAAAATCATTACTCTTATCGAAAATAATGCTCCAAAAAAACATGGTTTACTGATTTCAAAATTTTTAGCTGATTATCCCCCCATCCAGCTCCATTTTCCATTAAAAGAAAAAAAAAAAAGGAAAAACTCTATCCTCTATCTTAAAAAAAAAAAGGTAAAGACAAGATAAGCTTTTTTCCCCTTCCATTCGCGTCTTAAACAACTTCATTATTAGTATGGCACAATGATTCACATGCCCGCACATGCAGATGAAATAGCTAAAATGAAATTTATACAGTATTAAAAATGCAAATTACAATAAATTCTATTGTAGGTATATCATGGCAAAAAAAAAAAATTAAATAAAATAAAATTACTACCATTTTACAATTTTTATGAGTCAAACTTCATCATCCGGGAAGAATTAAAAACTTATACATGGATAATGCTTGGAGCATTTGTTCTTAGAGATGCCAATACAAGATCCGACACTCTATCTTAATTAGGTTTTTCATATTCTATAGAATTGTATTTTCTGCCAAACCCCCTCTAAGGTTTGTAAGTTGTTTATTCAGCGATTTTGTAGGCAATATTTCCTCTGGGAGCCTTTGGCTTCTTATTTATGTGAAGAAAAAAAAGAAAAAAATTCCTCGAACGGAAGCCAATTTTAATCTGGCTAATTATTCAATTGTCTTTTTATTTAAATAAATAAATTACAAGCAGGAATAAAAACGTACTAGCATGCACGAGTTTTTTATCCTGGGGGTCCTCGCGTCTGATACTAGATCAGAGGAGATATGTTCTCACAATTTTCATATGGATGATGAATCTATAATGTTACAAATTTCATTAAGTCCTCAATCAGCTTACTTTATTAAATTTAACGAAAATAAATTGTTTTTTGAAATAAAAAGAATACGTATAAGTTCTTTTATGGAGCACTATGATACTGTTTAAATTGCATAAATCATGTTCTTAATGGCTATAAATCATACTCTCGCTGTCCCAAAATTATTGTCCAATTTGATATTTCATTTTTAGTACAATTTGAACTAAAAATGAAAGCCCAAACTGGATAATAATTACGGGACGGAGGGAGTAGCACATTTTATATGAGTGAGAAGGCTAGGAACGTTCAAAACCAGATCAAGATGACAAAGGATTACATAAAGGATTTCAGCTCGCAACGCTTAGGTTAACGTTAATACTTAATACAAATCTTCATTAAGAAGGAACAAACATAGTACAAAAGCATCCAAATACGCCATTACTTGAATTTACTGACTACCACCATATTAAGGTGAAATTGTTATAATAACATAATCCCAAATGTCCTTCAAACTGCCTTTCTTCACCAATTTTCTCTCCCAGGGACTAACTCAGAACACAAAGAGGCTCCTAATTCTCTTATCAAAAACCTGTCATGGAAGGAAGCCCACATATCAAGAGATTTCAATTTGACAGGACTGAGAAGCTTTGCGGAACATGGAAATTTTCTGATGCATGAGCAACCTCTTTTCTGACTCAGACGGGTCACCTCGAAGTTGAATCCTTTCCAACACTGAACCATGTTCTAGGATATACCTTATGAGTTCGTACTCAACCCTGTTACTGCCTTCGAATCCAATGAATGAAACATGTTGCAGATTGAGCTTCAGGCAATCAGGAACACGGGTGGGATCAGTCCAATGACATCTTGATATATCCTCAAACTTTTCGATGTGAAGGACACGTAATTTCATGAACCAGTGCAGCAAATCTTCCAAACGCCCCCAATCACAGAAGTCGTATTCTATGTACAGTTCAGTTAATCTATCAAATGGAACGGACAATTCAGCTAAGGAACCGTTAAGTGTCTCCATTGTTGAATGATAGAATTTCATCACCATGGCACGATTCACGGCTTGAATTACTTGATCAACAAGCAAATCGCACAAATCAATATCATCACAGTCCACACAGTTCAGATCAAGCTCCACTGTCATCAAAGAGTGAAGTCCTTCCATTGAGATTTCACAGATTCCATGATGTTTAAATAAGAGATGTTCAAGAGCAGGTGCACATATTTTCAGCTGATCAGTGTCGTCACAGAGGAAACCATCTGTAATTTGAAGAAATCTTAGTGAACTGGAAGTTATATCGCAAACAGTCAAACCATCAGCATAATCCCTATAGATAGTGAGCGAGTAAAGCACCGGACAACTAGATATAAGCTTCTGAAACAACTCGTTTGATCCATATTTAAGAACACCAAGTTCCAAAACTTCCAGTTGTAGTTTCAGTTTCAGGGATCTCAAGCAGGAATGGCCCATTTAAAGCAAGAGATTCTAGTGTCCTACAGGAGAAAAGTGCACCAGGTAGATGAACAAAAGCACTGGATCATGAGAAACTTCAATGACAGCACGCTGAACATGAAGAAGTTCAACATTTCGAGCAATGGCAATGCTGATCCACTTAGAAACATAAACTGGTTGGCAATCCCATTCACACCAAAGGCGAAACTTGTTGATTGTTTCCAATCGCTGGGGACTCAAAACCTTGTCAACAAATTGCTCAAAAGGTCTTTCTTCTCCTCCACTTTCCCCTACTCCTAGCAGGAACTTATAGCTTTTTTGATCATAGAACTCAAACGAATTAACACGAGTCCACAGAGATTTCCATCGCTTGTTAGTTGCAACAACGTTCTTAGTAGGTAGTATAGCGAGAATTTCACAAAGGATTGAGTCCGGTAAGTCACTGATCCTGTCCATTTTCCGAAGAATCACTAATCCAAAGCGGCAATTCACCACCTCCTAAACCCTCAACCTGCCTATTTAGGAATAATTTATAGCTAAAAACAATGTGCGAGACTTGGTTAAGCCAATTTGACAAACACTTATGTTTACTACTGACTGAAACAATTTGTCGAACACTAACCATGCACTATTGAATACTCAGTACTTTTAAAACTTCAAACGATCAAATCCACCCAAAAACCTTCACAATCCAGTATAAGAAACTGCAGAAATCTAGATTAAAAGCAAGACGAAAATGACCAAATCCAAACGCATTTAAATCAAACTAAGCACAGAAAAATTTGTGACAGCTACCAGCCTATCACCATGTTCCAAACCATAGAGTAATGAGGCGCAGCACTGCATCTTCATTGGGAATTCTCTACTTCCATTAATCCAGAACTCAAGTAAAAAACCCTACTTCCCATTTTTCAGCCTTCTTCATTCATTCAGGCGGAAGGACGATTCTGGTCTATGGAGCTGGGAGAAAACAGAAAAGAAAAGCGGCCATTAGTGAAGTGTTCTGCTAAGTTGCAAAAACGACAGTAATGCCCCATAAGAGTCCTTCTCGTTATTTTCCCTTTTTAGTTTTTTTTTTTTTTGGATGAAACGTTCTCATTATTTTTCATTTTTCGCCTGTACTAGTTTACAAATATTTATTCATTTTAAATTGGAAATGTTTAAGAAAAATAATTTTTTTAAAAAAATTTTATTGGAGATGTGGAAGATATTAACTTTAGGAGAAGTATTGTATGTCTAATAATGTTATATACATTATAAGACGTTAAATTGAATATATATATATATATATATATAATATTAGTCCTCTCATTATGTACAAGTGGTGCCTGGTGAGTGAATTGATCGAGATCCGTGGAACATGAAAACAAGATTAATGATTTATTTTAATAAATGTGACTGATTTATGTAGAGTGTTCTATCAAATATCATTAGTGATTTATGAGTATATTTGTTACACTCAAACAAACATATTAGAAAAAAAAAAAGTTCTATAATGATTAAAGGTAAATCGTTGTACATAATTTTGTTTCAACTAATTCTACCAACCCTCAAATTAATACTCTATAAATATTCAATTTTCACGTAGATAAAAAAGGATGTATGAAACTTTTTATTGCGACAATCTTATTTTACTAGTGAATGTATCCATTTCTCGATTTGTGCGTGTCATCCTTGCGCAGGGGCCATGCTAATCTTCTCTGTATCGTTCCAATTTTATCGGATGTCCCCGAAGGGACATCAAGTTATTACGTTGAATGAGATGTCAATTTGTCATCCAGTTTTAGGGGTTTTTTAATCAAACTAAAGAAATTCAAGGGTCAAATTGTTACAAACATATAGTACAAGGACTTAAAATGATAATTAAAACACATATCTCCTCCCTTATCGCTTCTCTTTGGCGATGATCGTCTCTCCTCTCTCCTCCGACCTCTTTTTTCTCTTTCCTCTTTTCCTTCTCCTCTGTTCTGAGCTCCCAATATGAACTGGGCAAACCAATTCTCAACTCCTACATTTTCAGGCTTTGTAAGCAAAAGGGTCCGAAATTCTCCCATACCCGTGTCGACCCGGTTAATCTCCACCACCAAAGTGGTGGCGAGTTTGGGTGACAGAGACTGTAACTGTCCAACCTTTTTAAATGCAGTCGGGAGGCGCCAATTGCTAGCCTTGGGGACAACATTTACTCCATTATTGTTGCTGTTTTCTTCCAAGACCCCAATCTCATGTACGTTATACTTCCTTCCCTTAATCCCATTGTTCTTTATGGGTCTTTTTTTGTTCAGTCTTTACCTGTGCTGATGATTCTGATTCTCCTCTGCATTTTACCTTATTCTCTGCAAGTTTTGAAGTTATCTTAGTTTAACTTGCATTTGCCTTTTCTATGGTTCAGTTGCTGCAGAAAGTAAGAAGGGTTTTCTGCCAGTGACTGACAAGACAGATGGATACTCTTTCCTGTATCCGTTTGGGTGGCAGGTGTGACTTCTCACTGGTTCCTCTGTTTTTTTAGTGTATTTTTCTCATTAATAATGCAATCGATAAATTGCCCTCTTCGTTTATTCATTAGATCAATGTTTTTTCTTGAGGGCAGGAAGTTGCTATTGAAGGACAAGATAAGGTATTCAAAGATGTCATTGAGCCACTTGAAAGTGTTAGTGTTAATTTGATTCCGACTGGTAAAGAGGACATTCGGGATTTAGGGTCTCCGCAAGAGGTATGCAGAATGATGCTACATTTCTTCAATGTTTCTAAATTTTGTCTACTACTTAATGCTCTGGACAGGAATGTGAAAGTCGATACTTTGTTGCTTTCAGGTTGCTGAAACTTTAATAAAGAAGGTTTTGGTTCCCCCTTCCCAGAAAGCAAAGCTGATTGAAGCATCACAGGTAGTACGGTCACTTGAATAAACGGGTTTTTCAATGTCTTGAGCAGATTCACATTTTTGCCTTTAATACTAATTAGAAATCATGCTGTCATTCTACGGATTTGCCTGAAAACTGAATTTCTTTGTCTGATGTAATCAAGTAAAATTTTGATCAGTTTGGGGTTGCCATTCTTTCTTTTCTTGAGATTTCCGTAGAGAGTGATAAGGTGCCTTGACAACATAAGGGATGTGCTTTTTTGTTCTTTCATCTAGTTTGTTTCACATGGATTTAGTTTTGTCGGTCATTCGTGTAGAAAAACAATGTGATGATTGCCACTATGCACAAGTGTTTCGTATAATGGTTTGAGTAACTTTAGCTTGTAGCCCTAATCGTCATGCCACTGACAGAAGACAGTGTGATCACTGTGCAAATTCTTAGTTACCATACATTGCAATGGTTTTTGACCTTCTTATATATGACATAGATATCAGCTTCAGATAGGAGGTCGTTTCTTTTGTATTGATTGAGCTCCTTGTTCTTCTGTACATTAGATTTGTGTTCCTTCTGTATCTTGCATAATTCCTGGGGTGTCCTGATTTGACTACTTTTTCTGGGGTGCGTATTGCAGCACGAAGCTGATGGCAAGGTCTATTATACATTTGAGTTTGTTGCACAAGCTCCAAATTTTACTCGGCATGCTCTGACATCAGTCTCCATTGGAAACGGTGAGTGTCTAATATTGCCATAATTTTTTATTTCTGTTTACTCAAATTTTCAGTAACTTAAGATAAGTAAGACAAACTATCTCTTCGTAAGTCCAGAAAGGTCAGAAACTGGCTTTCTTTCACAGACTTAAAAACTTTTTGGATACTGTTTCTTCACAAAAACTTTGCCAGCTACTTACACTTATGACCAATTACAAATCTTGCCAATAACTGCGCCTGATTAGAAACTTTTAGATGAGGGATGCATCAAAGCTGGTAAAAACTGTTGCTAGCATAAAACAGATGTTATGATCAGTACAATGCTTGATAATTCGACAAGTGATTTGGTTGCTGGTTTTTTATGGTTGTTATTGGTATTCTCCTTGAAGGTTAATGCTCATTTGCTATGGAATTCGGTGCGCCACTTATATTTCATTCTTTGAATTGGGAAGGGATTGGTGTGCCGAAGAGTTTACTAAATTCTAAAAGATATACAATTTTCCTTTAACGTTTGGTGATTACCTGTTCGTTTTGAACACTCCCTTTTGTTCTTAGTGTTACATGAAATTCACAATCTTCCCTGCCTGATCTTCATGAAATATGCAGTTAGAAGCACTTCAAATTTATCTTCAATTCAGCTCATGCATGTTTTGAATCCATGTATATGCAGGTAAGTTCTACACATTGACAACAGGAGCAAATGAGAGAAGGTGGGCCAAAATGAAAGACAGATTACATACTGTGGTTGATTCCTTTGAAATTTTCAAAGTGTAACTAAGAAGGCGGCATTGATTTCCAATTTTTTTGTACAATATAATACCTGGAGGCTGTTCAGTCAGTGTAGATAAAAAGAGCAATATTCCATTACTTGGAGAATATCGTATAACCTACGCTATCTTGACATTTCAATCATTCAATATGTTCGATTTTCTCCTGCATTTGGTTACTCCTTATTTATTTGCTTACTATACAAAGGACGTAATATTATATTCCTTCTGTCCCAAAAAAATAGTCCATATTGAATTTTGAAATTTGTACTAAAACACTCAATGTAAACTTTTTTTTTTGGGACGAGGAAGTACTATATTCTTTATCGGTGGAACTTGGAACCAGCTAGCACTCCCCTGCGTAGCATAGGAAAAAAAATCCAGTTCGGCATGGGCGATCCAAAGGCACAATTCAAGACTTAGCATAACTGTTAGTCTCTTAAACGGCGATGCATTCTCCAATCTAAACGTCTACTAATTCAATGTGCAAATTAAGTTAAGGAAATATCTAAAAGCCCGTTTTAGCCAATGGTTTAGGCAACAAAACGACCCTTTAGCTACGGCATGAGGATAACCTATCAACTTCTAGACTATTGCTAATCTTACAAGGAGGCGATAGCAAGAGATGTGTTCCTGAAAGATAAAAGAAACCAAATTTTGCTAAGGCATATTTTGGGGATACGCCCTATCACAGCCTGCCAATTGAGGTTGAGTAACCCTCTAGAGAAAAGTTTACCATTTACACAAGTAGTATCTTCGTTTTGTCAAAATCTCAAACGCCTCTGTACTATCTTCTCTAAGAGCTGTTTAACTTCTATCCTCTTGCCTCCAGCATAGATGTCAAAAGCCCAAAAAAATGAATATTTTCTGTGGACTTATACTGTTTGGAAAGCCCAACTAAACAAAGATCTTCTTTTCTTTTCCTCTTTTTTTTTAACGTGTGATAATCAGAATTATTATGATTAATAATTTATTTCAGGTTATATTTTTTTCGGCCAGAACTTCACTTCTAATATATTTTTTTCTATAAAAAAAAGTTGTTTGTTATCTTTTTAAATGCCCATTTAATGATAGGTAAATGAACAGTTAAAAATTATCGAGGGGTCAAAAGCTTTTTAAGTACGATCTATTGTTTAATTTGGGCCATAGTTAAAAAACGATGTAACTGGTCCATTAGTTAATTTTTTTCACAAAACAAAGTTGATAATTTACATTGATCCTTTTAAAAGTTAAAGTAGGCTCCACAGTTCTTCAGGTGAACTCCAGACGAGAAATTAACATATAAAATTTGGTATTTTAGTATAAAATTTGCATTGTATCAAAGATATCAAATCAATACATCATTTTGGTACAATGGACTATAAATACCAAATTTGGTGTAAATTGTTGATTCAATTATTTTGATATTCGATCTTTATAGCATTTTGGTACAATGAACTATGCAAGTAAATCCAGACTCTTATGGTATTATGTCATTTGAATAATTAAACTCGATCGAATGAAAAAAAAAATGACATAATGGTGGTAAATTATTAGTAAATAACTACTTTATTATATTATTTATCATTGTGTTGAATGTGATAATATTATATAATATAAAAATTCTTACACTATGTAATACACTTCTTAGGCTTAAAATATAATTAATGTAAATTTATAATGATACTAAAACTATTTCATTTTATTATTTTTACAGTGTAAACCAATGTAGTGAAAGTTGAATAAATATGTAATATTGAAAATTTATGACATTATACTCATAATAGTGTAAACCATTGTGGATGATCTTGAATCTTGAACCCTATTTTCTAATTATTTAATGTGCCATAATACTAGTAATTATTATTAAAAAAAAAGTTAGCTAAATTATAATATAGGAGCAGTTAACGTTAGAAAATGACATTGACGTATAACATCATTCATTTTGGTGCATTTGGACATGGCGATTGGGCAACTTTGTTGGTTTGCTAAGAAGCCTAAACTCCCTAAACTGCGGTCAGGTTCATGCACTCACAGCATCACCACGGATGGTTCCTTCCTGGGGTGATTTCTTCTCATTCTAGTCTTTCTTTCAGATGTTTCAATCAGCCAGCTGCCAGCACTGCTGAGTGGCTGACTCATGTTCTGACTCGTGACGTGACTCGCCTTTTTCTTTTTCTTCGATATACAATTATATATACAATTGTTCATTATCGGTAACAGTAATTAATTTTTTTTATTAGGCCACAAATATTTTGATGAATGTTTGAGACATTATGATTGAGACAAATTTTTAAACTCCAAATATAAATATAGTTAAAGATAGATGAGTTCGTATCGCTTAACCTCTGATTCACCGTTCGATCACTTTCATAGTTTCATTTGGCGTTCGCCTTTGCTTTTGGATGATGAAGAAAAGGGACAAATAATTGATTAGAACTTAGGAGGCCCGGCCACTTGTGCTTAGCCTAACTTTACGAACCAAGCAAGAACCATCCCCCACCTCATAATCATCATCATCATTTCTCAATTTGCACCCATCATTTTCATTTCCTTTTTACCTTTTTAATTATTAAAAACAATGTCTTCCCACATCCATCAAACATTTTATTAATGTGTTAAAAATGGCAGTTTTGCGGAAAGTTGTGGAGATATGGTATCTTGATTCATTGATTAATCTCAATAGTTTTAGAGAAAACTACTAAAAAACTAGCAACGGAAAATTTGGTAAAGTATAACGAGTTTTGAAACCTTTGACAAATCACATGTACAACACTTCTGTTTGGCTCTCTGTCAATTGGCCATGTTTTGGGTTTGGTGATAATCACAAAAGGAAATACGCAAGTGGGTATAAGGATAAGATATAAATATCAAAGGGTCCATTTGACATTTATAATGTTGATCTACTTATACATAGCTTTATTAGGATTGCTAAGTTAGCTTGTTAATCTACCCTCTCTTATAAAGCTTAAATATAGGATCTAATTATAGCTTTAGAAAGCTGAGGTGTTGAATTAAAATAGTTTGGCAAATGTAATTTATATTTTGGAACAAAAAAGAGTATTATTATGTAGCCAACCAAAACTATAATTAAATAAAAATACATTGTGGGTGCGATCACCCGTTTCTGATATTTTAACGTACTCTCTCTATGTCTTAGGAAGAAATAATTTATGTATTGTACTAGATTTGTTTAGATTGGTTTTTTTTTGAGATAGAGTTAGTACATTTTTTGTAATAAAGGTATAATGAGAGGCAATTAGTTTCAGAGATTGCAACGAGAGAGTCAATTCATTAATATCATTGACGTAGTTGAAATTGTTTAAGCAATACAGTGTCATTGAAATTAAAATTCTTCCAATAATGCTAGGTTAAAAAATTAGTAATAGTTCACTTAATCATCAATTATAATATTTTAGATCAACAAAATATATTAATTAATATCGAGGCAAAATAAATAACATTTCACTATTAGTGATATTATTAATATTAATGTAGGTAATGGACAAAAACATAGTATGATCTTGCATAGGCGCACTTTATTAAACAATGATAAATTTGACAAGAGCAACGAATTAGAGTAATAATGTTTATGGTTTTTCTCAATCTATTTTATTAAATTGAAACAGTAAGAAGATATACTTGTTGAACTATTAAAGTAAAACGCAAGAAGGATAAATTTGTACCCCGCAAGAATCTATAAAGAGAAGTCATTTTCGTTGGGTTGAATTTTGATAATGAAACAATATTTGAGCTGGGAGATTTTAGTGAGAAAATTTTACTACGGATCAAAACTATGAAATGATAGATAAGAAAACATTAAAACCATCAAAATCAAAAAAATATTAATTAATGTAATTAAATTATAAAATTACTTTTATTAATTGTATATACAACTCATAACTAACCAATAGGAATTATTATAAATATTATTTCATTTCCAATGCAAGGGTAATTTTGATAAAAAGTGGTCAAATGTGCTTCGATTTGTAAAAATTATATATATTTAAAAAAATTCACCAAACTCTAAAACGACGTATATTTCAAAATAGAAGGAGCATGATACTAATGCTTACGTAATTGCTTAGTCCATCCTAAATAAAATATTACTCACAGAATTGTAAATAAACAATAATATCAGTAATGCAATCGATTTGCACTGCGCTGCAAGAAAGAACGTGAACAAAAGCTTTGGGTGAAGTGAAAGAAAAATTGGAACCTTCTAAGAAGAAGAAGAAAACCTTGCTTTTCACTGAAATTTCAATGGCGTTCTCCACTTAACTTGATTAAAATAATCCAGTATAGTATATTGTTCTTCTCGCTCATCACTGATCTGCATTTGCTTAATCACAATCACATTCTTATTAAAGAAAAAAAAATCTTGGATGAATCTTGAAGAATTCGAGCTTGATTTCTCGCAGAATTCCTTCCTATCTTTTCAATCATTAACTTTTAAATATTATATTCTCTCCGTTTCAAAAAAAAATAATAATAATAATAAAATCAATCAAATCTGTCAACACAACTAAATCTCTAGTTTAAGGCCAAAAGATATGATTAAGATCCTTAGGCTTGAGTTGTTCCTGCACATTTTAGTGCCATTTAACAAAGATTTCTTCGAATCAACAATTTGTTCTTAGTAACATGAAAAATATTGGTCCAATTACTGAATTTGTATTGTGTCATGATCACTAGTATTAACTGTTTATCAAATTTTGATGATCAACTTCAGAAATTAGCTAAAAAAAAAAAAAATGTTGAAGAGCAAGGGCAAATCTACCGTATTACCAAGAAATTGTTCAGAAAAAAAGATATCAAAATCATTGGAAAAAAAGGAATGAATTTGAACATCCATTTTCTTCAACAGCATTCTCTTATAACTGTTGAAAAAGGAAGAGATTTTTAATAAAGAATGTACAAAGAAGAACAAAAAAAGATTCATCTCATATGTACAACCCAAAAAATCTGAGAGTCTCTGTTTTTATTTCAGTCAGATTTTGGTCGCAAAATTCTCTGAATGTTTACTCAAGAGAGTCAACATCCCCTGAAGTTCTTCAAAAAGGGATGACTCAAAAGCTGAGAAGCAGTCCATCTTTTACTTGAATCTTTCTGCAAGCAACATTCAATGAAACCCCTGAACTCGCCGGAGACGGTCGCCGGCAAACATGGCGGCTCGCCGAAGCAAATTGCACACATCAAAGTCGCCCAATCGGGCCTCTGCCCTTCCGGCAAATAAGGGAAATGACCCATAAACAATTCCAACAACGTCAATCCCAAACTCCAGATATCGCCGGCGTACCCATTGTAAGTCCCGTCTTTGCCGTAAGTATCCGGGTCGAATCTTTCCGGGCTCATATAAGCACAGGTTCCCACATAGGAATTGCAGGGGTCTAATGTTCTGCACATGATTTTGCTCACCCCGAAATCCGCAATTTTGACTCTCATCTTCCCGTCGACGAGCAGATTCGACGGTTTTAAATCCCGGTGAGTGATTTTCCGGGCGTGGATGTGTTCCAATCCTTGAACGACCTGATGAGCGATTTTGGCAATTGTTTCTTCGCCGAAAACGACGCCGGATTTCATCAGGCTTTCTAAGGTTCCCCTGTCCATGTACTCCATTAAAATCGCCATGTCTCCGGCGGGAAGATCGAAAACCCCGTGGCACTTGACGACGTACGGGGAATCGGTCCGGCGGAGGATGTTGATTTCCTGGAATATTTGGCGGCGGGTGTTGGGTTCGCTGTCGCTGTGCATTACTTTGAGCGCGTAAATCGCGGAGGTCCTCTTATGCCGTACTTTGTAAACCGTGCCGCCGTTGCCGTGGCCCAAAACCTGGACTTTTTCCAGGTCGGCCATTGTTATGGCGGCGGCGGCGGCTGTGTTGGTTGATGAGGAGGAGGATGTGGTGGTGGTGGAAATGGAGGCGGAGGAGGGAGGGAGAGGGAGAGGGAATCGAGGGCGGCGCTCGGAGTGTTCCGGCAAGGGGAGACGGAGGTTGAGTTGGCGGCGTTCTTTAACAAGGGCCATCTTCCGGGAGAGAATCCGGCGAGTAGGAATTTTCTACTTTAGAAGTAGTTTATTTGGGGGAAATAAGATTAGTCGTTAGGATATGGGAAAGAGAGTGTTTATATAAGTGAGGAGTGAAAAGCACGTGGATTAATTTGGTGTATAATACTACTCTAAAAGAAGAAGAAGATAAAACTCGGAGGAAAGTGTGATGATGCAGGGTAGAAGGGTCCTCCTCCTAGGGGGTGGATCATGGATGATGACCTATTGGTTTACGTATGAATTCTTGGCCCTTACTCTTATATTTTCTAATCACTATCAAGTATTAATCCATATACGTTTATCATATTCTCTTCCGATTCCAAAATAATTCTCTCGATACAGAAGAAGTATATATAAGTATGTAATTTGTGATTTTATTCAATGGAGTAGTCACAATGTATTCGTCTGACGATTGAGTTTCACTTCAGTGACTCTGGTTTTATGCATTTTATTTAAAAAATTAGAAATGGAGGGGATCAAAGAGTTGTTACTTGCAAGTGTACTACATTTTCTTCAACTTAAACCCTAGTGCGATAGCAATAGGGTGACACAGTTGGAAAACGAAAACAACATGTAAATTTTAAGAAAAATGTGGAATGAAATTTGTTGGTTAACCGTGTTGAGTGTAGGGGTTAATTTAGTGAATGTGTCCTCATTGGCATTGGGCCATGTTAAAAAAGCTAGATGGACGAGAGTAACATAAACAAGTCACTAATTTGCACTACACTTTTAATTTTATAAGAGTGAAGATATTCACAATTATTACTTTACAGCTAATTTGAGTAGGTAAGTACACGGTTATCATCATATTCATTAAAAAAATATTAACATTTGCTTAAAGATGTTATTTTCATGTATCTTATAGGGATCAATCGTAATGATTTTTCATAACATTAACAGGTATCATTTACGTGTAATGCAACATTATAATCTCGTCATTTCTAGTAATTGTTCGTTTCTTTATATTAAAATTATCATCTAGATTGAAAATTTAACGTCTTCTTCATCTGAATTTAATTTATAATGATAGGTCACTTTTTCCGAGCTAATGTATAACTTATAAACTTTGAAGATTTAAATAAAAAAGCAAATATTAGTGCCATTGAAATACCTAGGGTATTACTTGTGGATTAATGACAGCCAATTACAATAGAAAAAAGACACATGAAATATGAAGATGTGTATGTACTAACCACCATTAATTCGTACTATTTCCCCAATTTCTTTCCTTTTCAAAATCAAGTGGCACGCATTATTGTAATCTTGCCTATGTCCTTGTGACGTGACCAAACAAATTAACTTTTTTTATTTTTTTTATACAAAAGGCCAGCTAAGTGGTAACGCTATTTTTTTTTTTTTTTAAGAAAATAAAAATAAAGTTAGTTTGGATGATTCGATGATTCATTTCTTTGATTCCCATGGGTGACGCAGCCAGCCGTTTTGTCTTATCGTGGCTGCCTAATTATAATTATTAATTAATTATTGTAGTTTGCAAGTGGTTTTGTGGTTTGTTTTTATTCGGAGTGGCGGGCCTGCCTTTATCAATTCTCATTTAAAAAAAAAAACAATAACTACAAGTATAAATAATAAATAATTAATTAGGTATTGTTATTGCCAAAACAATAATTAGAATCCAAAACAAATTGCTGACTTTCTTCCTAAATTGCCCTTGTCCTTATTTAATTACAACTTCTTTTCTCATCTTCTTCCCCTCCGTCCTCAGAGGCTCCAAACTTATGAGCTTGATCCAATATATTTACAAAACCCATATGCTAGCTATTGCCGTGATGCTTGTATCGAGTCCTGCTTGGATTAGCACACTGATCGATTACATCAACAACGTAGCAAAAGTCATCAAGGACTTCAATATATTATATATACACAATACAAGGGATTGGATCTATTAAATCTCCAATGGAATGTAAATCTTGCAAGCATTAACAGAAGTACTTGCTACATGAAAATAGAATGACAAAGGTTTAATTTACAACATGTGTTTATACAACTGAAAAAGCTAGCAATACAATCCTTGGAACTATTAGGCAGAACTCGAACTATTGCCAAAAGTAGTCATAACCTCAATTTACTACAATAGAACAAATCTACTAATTATTCCAGCCTAAACGAAGAAAAAAAAAAAAACCTCAAAGAAAATCATATTGATGATGGCAAATGCAATTTATTATCTCAACCTTGACAGTTAACCTCCTGGGGATTGCGGCAATAGGCAATAGCTAGCCCGATTTTGTTATCGAATCAAATTGTGTTAAAGAAAAGTAAATACTCTAATATTTCTTGTACAAGACATCGAGACAATATGATTTAGTTTTTATTCTGGCTAATGGTTCTTGATCTCTCTAGGTTGATGATGAACATGTCCATGACATATGTGCTGGACAAAGGAGATGTAGATAGATTAGAAAAAAGACGGTAATGAAAGAAGAAATTATGCTTGATTTGAATAGGGGCATTTTAGGAAAAAAATAACAATTTGTTTTGGATGCTAATTATTGTTTTGGTAATAAAAACACTCTATTCCATCCGTTCCAAAATAAGTGTCGTTTTAACAAAATGGAGAAATTTCAAAATAAGTGTCGTTCTCACATTTCAATGCACTTTTTGTCTAAAGTTTTCAAAATTACCTTCGAAAGAATTAATACTATTAGTGGATATTTTTTTAGTGGGGTTGGTTGAGGATATTCAAGTAATTTTATTATCCTATTTAAAAGTTTCTTAAACTATGTGCAAAGTGTAGGATGACACTTATTTTGGAATGGAGGGAGTATTAAATTAGGGATGGTGCCGCCCTTTAAGTTAGGTGGTTTTGGGTTTGCTAGCTAAAGCTAACCAAATATCCCCATTAAATTCCGGTACCAGATTCACAATCATGTTTGCTTTAATGTAGTAGTAGTTCATATCATTATCATGATTACAAGTTAGCATAAGTTTCTTTGTTTATATTCTTGTAAGCGGATTCATACTCCCTCTTGTACTAATTATAAGGCATCTCGATTTTGTCCTCAATTTCACTTAGGATATCTTTTTAATTAAAATAAAAATCTTAAAAACATTTTCTAATAATTAAGAGAACACAGCTAATATAAGGATATATTTCTAAGATTTTCTCTCCAATTAAAAAGATATCTTAAATAAAATTTAAGACAAAATCAAAATGCTTTATACTCATAAGGACCGGAGAGAGTATTAAGTACTCTCCTATATTTTCAGTTTTCACACTGAGTTAAGTACTCCTCTCCATCGCATTGGGGTATACAGGTAGGATTTAGCGTTTAATTAAAAAGATCTCTACCACTAGATCGGATTAGAATTTGGAGTAGTTAAGTCTGATTAACTACGAATAAATAAATAAAACAATGAATAATTTATCCTTGAGAGTGATTAAATAATGGACACTACTAGAGGCGGCTAATTAAGTTCATTGGATTTGTGGTTCCAAAATCAACACAGGGTCCTATATGTTGCAACTGAAGACTATTTAAGATGAGAATATCAATATCAACAAATAGTTTTATCTCTCATAGGTTCAACTATCGAATCCCGACTAGGTGCCATTGAAATTCCCTCCCCAAAAAAGAATGTGATTCAGAAGAATAATATACAGTTGACCCATATAATAAAATGTCTTAAGAAGTGATGTAATGTAAATGAATAGCTAAATTTACTGCATAAATGATCCTAGCCTATTGTCACATAGGAGTTAATTTGATTCTAATAATTTTCATTCATATTTCCTTTTTTCTTTTTTGTGAAACATTGACAAACAAATTAATTTGTGTACATGCTTTTTATTTATTATTGAGATGCTTTACTGAATACTATTTCATTTTTCATCCTTACATTTTAGAAAATATTTTTTTTTTTTTAAAAGAAAGAAAACTTCATTACGATTGCTGGAAATCAGTCCGCTCTGATTGATACAAACCGTCCAACAACGACTGACGAGAGAATACAATGACTAAATTAGTAACTAAACTATTACAACTAGAAATACAAAATAAAACTTTCATCAACCAGTTGTTATTTCCGGGAGCAAAGAAAACTGCAATAGAAAATGATTTTTAAGACTTGTGACTCTATAATGATATTTCCAGATAATTAAAAACATTGGGTAATATTGTTGAAGCCGGCACATTAAATTGGTATAATTTGGCATTAAATTGGTTATTCATTATTTGTGCAAAATGCAGCTCCCCATCTCTATCAAGTATCAACTCTTTTGTGTTCTTACTTCTTGGTCTCTTACGTGTTTCAATCTCTCGTTCTCTACACGTCGGGTCCATTGAACCGCCCCAAAGAAATGCACTTTTCCTTTTGGTTTTTTTTTTTGGTTGGAAAATTATGTCTATTCAATTTGTTGGAAAACTACAATCAATTAAATTCAGTGAGACCCCAACATGTAAATAATTTGATAATAACATGAGAAAAATTCCCTCTAAAATATGAGTTTTCATTCCCTACCAATCCACATCGAATACACCTAAAGAAAGTGGGCAGACATGCATCATTTTCATGTTCACTAATCTGTGGGATATGCTTTCCAAGAATAATGTAAGCTGTTAGTGTTCTGTTATGAATAATTATATTTGTATTTCACTCTAATCATCAACTGTTTCTTTTTTTCCCCCTATATATATTCTTCTTATATAGTCATTTTATTCCCAAAAAATGGTCTACAGTAAGTTTTGAAATTTGTGTTAGTTTTAATACAAATTTTAAAAATTCAATATGATTTTATTTTTTTTGGACAGAAATACTGTATATATAGATATTTGTAGAGGGAATTTGACATCATTTCACGGTTACTTTTCCCAATAAGGCACAACGTATGCCTTCTTATACCTTATAAAAATTTCCAAAAGGAGTATAACATATATAGAAACTTGTAATTAGCGAAATATGAGTAGATATTACTGTCAAAATTTGAGGAACAGAAGAATATTTTGGAGAATAGGATTTCCGAGAGTTGAAAGAAACAAAATAAACACTAGAGTTGTTTTATTCTATTGTTCGTTTGAAGGGGGCAAGTATACAGCTGAAAATAAATTTCTGACGTTAAAGTAGTTGTTGCATGGCTAATGGCTTCATTTTGCAATATAAGTAAAAACCATGCAGATTTGGCAGCGCTAGAATTCAGATGCCAAAAATGAATAGAATCAATAATTAATGGTAAGTAGAATACATCCACTTTACACTTTTTGGTAGAATAGAGATAAATCTTTTAATTTTTATCGGGGATCCCTTTTTATCAATTCATCTGGGAAGGATTTGAGCGGTTTCTAGGAACTGACCCAAAATAGCTGGTTTCAGCAGTTCGTTAAAAAATGTGCGAAATTTACAAAAATAATTAGTACTCTCTCCGAATCTTATTATAAAATATTTTAATTTATCTAAATTTTATTTATCGCGTTCTTTCAATTAAAAATAAAATCTTATACATGAAACATAAAATGAATCGAAATGTCTTATAATAAGGACCCCAGGGAGTAATAACACAATTTTCTGGTCATATTTTCATATTTCTTAATTTTTATACAATTATTTTTAGACAAAAGAATTTTTAAGCATGTGCGAAAATGAGCAAAATGTATAACAGTATTCTATAAGAATATCTCTACTAGAGTATGGAAAAAAAACTGACGAGATATAACCGCATCTGCTTAGAAGTTATTTTAGTATAACACGAAAATTTGTGCAAAATTGCGAAGCAAAAGACGAAAGGTACTCCATTCATTTCAAAATGCAAGTTATATTAGATTTTGCACGTATACTACGGAAACAGTTATCTAATAATTAATTTATGTGTTAAATATCTTGTTTACCCTCATTAATTACATTGGAACTATAAACAAGACTAAATAAAAATATATTGATATCATTTATTGAGGGTAAAATAGGAAAAATGGTCATTAATTTGCTTAAAATTTATAAAACGACCTACATTTTGAAAAATATTTTTAAACTTAAAATGACCTATAAATTGAAATGGAGAGAATAAAGGTTAACGGCATCATTAATGGTGTTTTGTGTTTGCTCAGCCACAATAGAAGAAAGAATTTATGTCGGTGAAGGGGACACATTAACTTACTTAAACCAGCATTTGGCAGCACATTTGAATTATATGTCATAAAACCACTTCACGAAACTTTTTAAAGTATATAAAACATCTGTTGTCCAAACACCATCTGAGGCTCCTTTTTTTTTTTTTTCCATTTCTTAAAATGTTAAAAATACTTTCTCAACCCTTTTCCTAACAATGCCATAAGGTTGGTAGGCTAGCAACAAAGATGGCATATATTTTCATCGTTTTCGGCCTCACAGTAATGATGTATTGACCAAATTAGCCTTGTCGGTAGGTTGTATTATCCAAGTTATGTATAATTCCGGCCCAAAGTTTTTGATAGTTTCCACTTTTCAGGGATCCAACTTTTTCTCCTCCTCTCTCTTTTCAACCGCTTAATTTTCTTCCACATCTTCCCTTCCGTGGGAGGATAGAGGAGATAATTTATCTCTAGTTTTAGTTTTTGATATGCTAAACGTGTATTATTTGTTAGTAGATTTTGATCTATTGGGTGTTATTAGTCTGTCAATAGATCTCATTTTATTGATCATTATTCAGTTTTTTTGTAATTGTGTGTGATCTTTAGTTCATAGTTAATTCCATGATTGTACTGTTATGGTTCATAGTTATTGTTTATATTCAAGGATTTGTAGTCAAAGTAGATCGGTTGATGATTAGTGAAGTATTCGAGATCGCGAATTTTTTTTGGTACATGTGATGTTTCTAACAAGTATTTGTGGGTGCTACGGAAGAGTTAGTGATTTTGATTGTCCGCAGTAAAGATGATCGGTTGATTTTTAGATATGAAATTCTAATTGATTGTAATATGTTAGTGATTGTAATCCTCTGTCAAATCATGGTTGGATGTGTTCTAAAAAAGTTAATGAAAGTTTATTTTATCTAAAAAAACAGAGATTTTGTATAGTTATAAAAAATTCGAAATGTCGGGGTTTATCTTGTGCACCAATGGTCCTTTTAATTAATATCATTAATTGAGATGTGATTTTGTTTATATATTTAAAGATCCTCTTCTACCATGCGTCTCTCCAACTCTTTTAATTAAATTCTCATTTTAATTTTGGATGGCTAATTAATGCTAGAAAATTGAAACAAATGTTATAAACTCGACTACTGAATTTTATAAATTGAAGTAGGTACGTAAAATGTTACCAAATGGTTATAAAATTCCCCTCGTTTATCAATTGGTCACAATATTTAAACGTTATAAAAATCCCATAATTTAACTTTTTGAATTTTAATTGCCGATTCTGGACTATTGAAAAGTGTCGGAACGGATATTATAAATATGTAATTTTTCAGTCGTTTTTCACAAGTATAATTGGTGTAAGTATCAAAGATGAGTGCTAAGTATAATTCTTTATTAAGAAATACTGTAACCAGAGACAAAAACTTAGGATGAAGATCAAGAAAAAGGATACTTTCCACATAAAAAAAAAGGGGACATTTTCCACATGGAGATACATGGAATCCTGGATTGAAAAAATTCAGAAATCTTTGGCTTTTTGTCGCATTTTTTTTCAAAGGTGACATATAATATTTGCTAGAAGAATTTACGTGATGCCATGTGATCGTCCATTGGGATTATATTATTATAGTACAGTACAAAAAGTCCAAAAAGCGAATGCATATTGATGATGATACTTTCAGTGGAATTATTTCCAGTGAAAGTAGAGATAAATAATGTTATATTAATGAAAAAAAAATTAAATCATACATTGCACATTTTGATTATTGTAAACGATGATTTAATTTTTTTGCGTAACAATATTATAATTATTATTATCATTGTTTTAGGGCGACGTGAAGGAGTAAAGATTCCTACATTTGACAGATTTCTTAAATCGTTTTAGTTGATAGTTCGCAGTTTTAAACCCTCATTGTGGTTGGAAGCAAAGATGAAATTTCATGATGATTAGTCAAATCAATGCTTCCAAACGGAATAATTGAAAGAAATCATCAAAAGATTTGAAGCACATAGAATTAATTAATCTTCAATTCCAATATTGTAGTCTATCCATTCGGACAAGGAGAATGTGATTCTAAATAAAGCCCTCTAAAAAAAGCAAAGAGAAGAATCCTAGGACATTAAAAGGGGGGAAACGTAATCTAGATAACGATGGATAAAATGTAGTAAATGTGTTGCCATTCTTCAACTCCCTCCCCTTTTACACCCAAAAAAAAAAAACAAAATTTTTTAAAAAATATTACTTCCGTCTCGAAATTATTGTACATTTTAAATTTTCATTTTTAGTACAAATTGAATTAAAAGTAAAAATTCAATTTTGACAATAATTTTGAGACGGAAGTAAAAAGAATAAAAAATTCACGAGATATTTAATAGTACTCCTCATAACGCTCACGCATTTTGTTGCGTGTATGTTTTTAACTAATTATCAAGAGAGTGTCATGCAAAAGTGTTACGGATATCTCGTTACCCTCCTTTTACTCTTTTTATAAAGAGAATTTTGACAAGATTTTCATTCCTATAAAAGATTTTGGGCAATATGATTCTCTCAGCACCAAAGATTATTACTAGGACCCTCCAAAGCTATCAATTGATCAGAGAAAAGAGAAAAAGACGTGAGAATATATTCCTGGTCCAATAACTTGGTACTATCTTTACAAATCCACATGCTCAGGTAGTAGGAAGAAAGCTCCCATACGAGGTTTCAGATCAGTAGGAGCAATGGAAAGAGTTGGAAGACGTGATCGAAAACCCGAAGACGAGGAAGAATTCGAGGCAGAGGGCTCCAAGTCTTTGTTCTGTCTCAAGTTCCTCTGGAACTACTCAAATGTTGATCAGTCCATTAGCACTAGAAGTGGAAATAGTAGTAGTAGTAGCAGAGGAATCATCCCTAGAAATGGTGGAGGAAGCCATAATCATGGATTCGTCATTCGGCCCGATAACAGGTATGTTTTCCTGTCTAAACTACTTACAGTTACGGAAATTCTAGGCCTATATTGAGGAAGAAGGAGTCCTTATTTTGTTACCTGTCATCAAAACTGTATATTTTCTCTTTTAGGCTTTTTCCCTTTTTAGGAGAAAAAAAAAAGATATGGATTTTGTATGTTTTGAGGTTTGTAGAAATTACCCTTCTTAGAAATGTACTATAAATAGTGTAACATATGTCTTATTAGCCCGTTTGAGATGTCTCCTTCTCACATTTTGCGTGTACTGATTGTGTCTCATTAGTAAAACGACATCAGAACCAGTTTAGGTATGATGTGTGAGGCTTGGAAAATTTGTAATATGATTTAGTTTTAAGTATGGTTGTTGTTGTGAAACAAATGCAGGTTGTATCAGTTATGGGCTCATTTCATACTGGTCTGGGCAGTATATTCGTCTTTCTTCACGCCACTCGAATTCGCTTTCTTCAGAGGCCTCCCGGAGAACCTGTTTCTTCTGGACATTGCTGGGCAGTTTGCTTTCCTCATTGACATTGTGATACGCTTCTTTGTCGCCTACAGAGATGCTCACTCTCATTGTATGGTCAAAGATCACAATCTCATCGCCATTCGGTTAGTCTTTACTTCTTAATTTTGCAAGAATCCAGGTGCATTTTGGAGTATTTTTGAAGTCATAATGGAAAGAATGACATTTATATTTGTACTTTGACCATTTATCGTGTTCTTGCCATTGATACTTGAATGAACTCCAGATACTTGAAATCTCGCTTTATTGTTGATCTTCTGGGCTGTTTACCATGGGACTACATTTACAAGGTAATGTAACTCTCTCCAAATCATTTTCCATTCTGTTTCTGCCTGCAAATTGATGACAAAGTTAAAATGACAACCTTTTTTATGATTAGGCTAGTGGCAAAGAGGAGCCAGTCAGGTATTTCCTATGGATTAGGCTTAGTAGGGCATTAAGAGTGACCGAATTCTTTGAGAAGATGGAAAAAGACATCCGGATTAACTATCTTTTCACAAGGATCATTAAACTCTTTGTTGTTGAGCTGTATTGCACGCATACGGCTGCCTGCATCTTTTACTACATTGCAACCACTCTGCCTCCATCAAAAGAAGGTTATACATGGATTGGAAGTTTAAAGATGGGAGATTACAGCTATGCACATTTCAGGGATATTGATCTTTGGACTCGTTACATAACATCGCTGTATTTCGCTGTTGTCACTATGGCGACAGTTGGTAAGTTCTTATCATCCACCTAGATTTCTTTGTAGCGTACAAAGGGAATGTCTACTGATGCAACTCTTTACAGGTTATGGCGAAATTCATGCTGTCAACACAAGGGAAATGATATTTGTCATGCTCTATGTTTCTTTCGACATGCTTCTGGGAGCGTATTTGCTTGGAAACATGACCGCCTTGATAGTAAAAGGATCAAAAACAGAGAAATTTAGGGATACTATGGGTGATCTCATCAAATACATGAACAGAAACAAGTTGGGGAGAGACATAAAGAGAGATGTCGAAAGACATATTCGCTTAAAGTATGAGAGGGGTTTCACTGAGGCTTCTGCACTTCAGGATATTCCAATATCGATTAGAAATAAGGTAACTTGGAGTATGGTCTTCTGTGCATACCTTGATGAACTTGTGATTATTTTTAAGTCATACTTTACCTATTTCAGCGTTCTGAATCAGTGAATAATGCAGAAGATAGATAGCTATTAAAAATCTTTAAATCCTGAGATGAGGGGCAAAGGAAACTTGATCATAATAAGCTTGTTGCCTAAAAGTGTTTAGCATATTGTTCGGACAAATAGTCCACTTTGTTGAACTGTAAACTACACTATTGAAGTGAGTAAAATTATAATTTTTATTTTTTAAAATTTTTATCTACTAGAAACAAGAATGAAACTAAACAAGTGGCACAAAGAAAGTTCGGAATTTGAAACAGGTCTCTCTGTTAGGATCTCGTCCAGAATACCGTCCACTTACTAAAGTCGACGAGTAAGTTGGCGGCTCCAAGATGAGCAACCAGCCACATTTCCTTGGATATTAGATCATTTTTCTTGCAGAATTGTCATAAAATTTCTTCATAGGAGTTGTTATCCATTCTTATGGCTTTGCATTGGTCCTTTTCTCATCTAACCTTGTTGATATTATCAGGAGATTTGATTGGTTGAAGATCTCCTTTCAAATTGTTATCTTTGGCCATTTTTTCGTCACTTTCGAATCTTTTCAACAATAAGGACAAGAAAACACCAAAACACTGAAAATTGAGGAGTTTAGCATCCAAAATCTCTGAAAATCATGTTCAAACCTTGTAAATAGTGAGGAAGAATTAGTGGCAGGACTATTCACAGCATCTATGTCATTTTTAAGGCTTGTTCCGAACCTTATGCCATAAGCGTGAAGCTTCTTCTCTTGCTTAATGGTTTCTGTTTTGTAGGTCTCACAAAAACTCTACGAGCCATGCATCAGAAAAGTCCCTCTTCTGAAAGGTTGCTCGGATGAATTCATTAATCAGATGGTAAGTCATTTTCCCACTGCATTTTCTACCATAAACGCATCATGCATGATAGATCATTTTCCGGTATCTAGAATATTTTAGATAGACAGTTATTTTTACATGTTTGATCATAATTACTTACATTTTCTTTGATTTTGCAGACACTTTGTGTTCACGAAGAGTCTTTCCTTCCAGGGGAAGTGATTTTAGAAGAAGGCAAAATTGTTGATCAACTTTATTTTGTTTCTCATGGAAAGCTGGTACGCCATTTTGTAGCAAGAACCTTCCAATCCATCATGGATTTTTGTGATTTTCTCAACACTTTTGAAAATTTTGAAGGAAGAGGTAGGAAGGTATGAAGGAGGAAAAGGCGATTCTTTTATGAGTTTGGAAACACACAGCTCACTTGGTGAAGTTTCAATTCTTTGCAACATCCCAATCCCAAACACAATTCGTGTTGTCGAACTATGTAGACTCCTAAGAATTGATAAGCAAGTTTTCCTTAGCCTCTTGGATATTTACTTTCTGGATGGGCGGATAATCATGAACAATCTCACTGAGGTAAGGTATTTTACTTTGTTTGATGACTTATATGATGGTTAGGAGCACAACATCTGCAACTTCAGAGACACAGATTACTATATTCTTGTCGCAGTGGTATTTAGGTAATGTGTTCTATTTCCTTGTTGTCCAGGGGAAGAGTTCTACTATTGATCAAATAATAAGGGAATCAAAAATCATACTTCACATTGCAAAACATGAATCTGAGTTGGCTATGAAGTTAAACTGTGCTGTGCATGATGGAGATCTTCATCGACTGCAAAGTTTCATTGGAGCCGGAGCAAATCCAAATGCAACTGATTATAATGGACGCTCACCTCTGGTATGTCGATTAACATAAGAAATCTACACGACATGCCATAATCTGTGGGCTGCGCTTTAGCCATGATTTTCATTACTCTAGGATCAGTCTTAGGATGGTGTTTAATCTTTTTGTCATAGCATGTTGCTGCATGGAAGGGATATGAAGATATCACTTTATTCTTGATCGAAAAGGGGGCAGATATCAATGCAAAAGGTAAGTTCAAAAGAAACTTTCCCTTCTGATATTCTGACCCTTTTGTTAAGAAAATGTAGGGAAAGGAAAGTATTAGTGGAAGTACTATTGTTGCAGATAATTTCAAAAACACTCCATTGCTTGAAGCAGTCAGGAATGGACACGAGGAAGTGGCTTCCTTGCTCGCGAATGCAGGGGCATCGTTGTTGTTAGACAACATAGGGAATCGTCTCTGCGAGGCAGTTGCAAATGGAGACTTAGAATTGTTAAGGAGGCTATTATCCTTTGGTACCAATCCAAACTCCAAAAATTATGACCTTCGAACGCCACTTCATGTAGCTGCATCAGAAGGGCTATATCCAGCATCAGTCTTGCTTTTAGGAGCCGGCGCCAGTGTTATTGCAGTAGACAGGTAGAATATGCGAATAACCCGCTAGCCTCAATCACATTATTATTAATATAGTGAGAGTGTAATTATTAAAAAAAAAAAAATACAAATGTTACAACAGGCCAGTAGCGCATAAAATTGATTGCAATGTTGAACTATTTCATAGAGCACAATGACGACATGTAATCTATGTAGCCATCTCTAAGTACATGTTACATTAAGATAAAGGCTTTATTACATTTCTGCCGCTGTGAATTAATGCAAAAGGTTTGTGTTTGTAGATGGGGTAAAACTCCACTGGATGAAGCCCGGTTGGGAGGAAACAAGAGCTTAATCAGTCTGCTTGAAGATGCAAAACGTAGTCAGTTGTCCGAATTTTCTGAATCTTTCCAAAGAAAACAAGGTAAATTATCATGTTTTAAGAAACCAGCTGCATAAATTTTAGTAAAAATGAGCAGCATTATTGTTTCTGATCTTTTAATCTCTGTCCTCTCAAAGATAAACCACTGTAAACTGCGATGATAAAGGTTAAGGAAAGAGAAATATATTAGCCATTATATTGGAGTAAGTCATAGTCATACATTATTACCAGATGATTATCATTGTCAGTTACGACTTCAAAGTCAAAATAACAGGATGATACTACCGAGGCTTCAATTGCGAAGTGCTTAAGGTTTGAGGTTCCCTCCAGGATGTAACTTGACGAGTAATGACAAGACCAAGGCTTGACAAGATAATTCTGTGGGATTAACTCTTCATTGTGGTTGTGTTTACAACTAACTTTAATTATCAGGACAATGATAGTCTCTTAAGAAGAAAAACCAAGACATTTCCCCTTCCAACTTATCTCATATTATGACATATTTTCGCCTTTTGTTTTTCCCCCAGAAAAAAGCCAAATTGGCTTTTATTCCTTGCGTTCATTTCTCTGGTCTCTAAATTCCAATCAATAAATCCGCCACTTGAGCTTTAAAATATATTAAGGGCATCCGATAAAATGTTTTACTCAAATTGAAATAACTAAAATTATCCCCGTGCATTGCACGGATTGCCTTATATGTATTATGTAAAATTGTAAAATTATGATCACATGTGAGCCGAGCCTTATCGTCGTTATATGATAAAGTTTATGTCGGGTTTTGTGATATAATAATTTTTATCCGTGTTTTCTTGTGTAAATTATATTCATATTTTTTTATGTTTTATATTCAAGATAGTGTACATTTTAAAAAATAAAAATTTTAGAACTAAGAATCGATAAAATTTATAATAATTTTTGGTAGTGTATTTCGTAAATTTTTACAAATAGATTTATTAAATTCAAAATGAAAGTAAACCCAAAAAGAAAAAATAAATGTAAATATATAACGCTTTATATAACATCTCTTTAGTAATATTTTTTGGTAGAGTTGCCTGAAAACACTAAATTTTATACATACTTGATGGTTTTTCATCTACAGAAATAAATTTTATGATTCTTGTTAAAAATCCAGCACCGTAAACTCTGCTTAAAAATATGTGAAAAAATATTCTTAGCAACCAATAAAAAAAAAATTGAGAATAAGTGTCAATGGAAAAGATGTGTTTTTCATTTTTAATTAAGTAGGTAACCAAATATATATGGAATGTAATAAAAATGGGTGAAATATATGGGTGAAAAGTAAATAAAATAACCAAATTTACAAAAAATTTTAACACTTCAATGAGAACGGGTCTCTGGCATTGACACGTGTCAAACAAAATTCTAAACTTGAAATGTGACAAAGAAGCTCTGAATTATCTAATTGAGCAACATGTGTCGATTGAAAACTCTCTTTTAATATATAGTATAGATTTTAACTAAAATTATATGGGTCATATACAATTAAGTTGTATTCAAGGTATACAACTTTACTTATTGCGAAACAAGTTTCGGCTAGGGTTTCATGTCATTATAATAACTATGGTGAACTTCCGGCATCAATCCGTGGAAAAGTTCACCTAGATCAATCTTCTTTCCCTTATATTAGGATTAAATAGTCTCTAAATCTTCAAAATCTAGATGGAATTGCCAGGGGATTAATGTTTCTAATCTTTGTTAGGCAAGCTCCTAGGAACCTAGATAGGAAAAGTGAACTGTCAGGGGATTATAGTTCTATCTTTATAAGACAATTCCTAGTGTAATTGCACGAGAATTGTCAGGAGTTTTACTAGAAAACTTTGTAAGACAGTTCTTTTTCATTTGGGTAAGTCTTAAGCACTGCCTTATGTAATTTTTGCTTTTAATTAATAAAATCGGGGTCCTCCGGCCAGGTACCGCCCTGGATTCTCCTAAAAAAAAAACTTTACTTATTGACTATATTTTCAAATAAGATAAATTGCCGATATTGTCAGGATAATTTTAGTCTCCAGAATAAAAAGTGAGTCTCATACAAAGCTTTCCCTATTCAATTAAGTATATCAATAAAGCTTTTTTTAGCCTCCACTTCTTCCTCCTCATTCGGCTTCTGTGTCCTCACAAGCAACACAGGTTCGATGAAAGAGGCAACCAACTTATAGCCTTGCGAATCTCCCGACAATGGGAGTCAATTAGTGTTTTTTTTTTTGGGCCATAAAAATTTGGGGATATTTAATTAGGGATCTAACGTTTTTCATCTTTTCTCCCCCTTTAATTTCTTCCCATGCCATTTTCATTCATCGTAATCGCATGAGATGGGGAAATGAACTAAAAAATTATGTGTATTTGTATCATCATGACCCTAGAAAATTGATTGTTGATATTGCATGATTAGTTAACGTTGCAGGAAGAAAGGAATTGCTCGTTTATGTTCTACGCTAGCAACAAAAAATGATAACACTATGAAGAACTGACTAAAAAAAAAGGAATTAGATTGAACCAGATTCAAAAAATGATCCAATGAATGCAAATTCGCAGAATTTAACTGTACTGAAGCGAAAGAGGTTTGAGATTAAAGATTGGAGCGGCAAGTTAGGGAGGATGGTGTCGAGTCGAATATTAGTCGAAGAGTATTTAAAAAAACACTTAATAATTGCTTTAGAGGCTAAAAATTGTCCTGGTAATATCGCCAGCCACAACCAAAATAGTCCAATTGTCACCCATGATGATGTAGTCTCATCTTTCAGAAACCATGTCTATTTTTTGCGCATATTCCATCTCAATAGTATTGCTTTATAATCAACCAGCATCAAAGACAGATACCAAACAATTTAAACAATTAAGCTAAATTTAAGGAACCACCCCAAAAAATTTTATATTGATCTATATATTTACTTCCTCAGGCTTGAATCATGAGTGTAATACTACTCTCTACTCTTTTCCGCTCCCAAAAGAGAGTCATGTTTGTTGTACTAATAAGAGTGTGGAGTGTAATTTAAGATACAGTAACTTTAAGTCTTCACAGTTAGCATACACATCACTACAATTTGACCTCTTGTTGTTTTGATTTATGCGCAAACTCAAGATTTATTTTAGGCAATTTAGTTCTTATTTGTTCATCGGCGTTTTCTCCTTACCTCGAGCATCAACTTCTTGTTTGTAAAGCATGATAGCAGCATATAGTTTATATATGTATAGCTAATTCTATAGGTTATTATGATAAAAACCATATTCATCGACTTTTTTTGTCGCCATGTCGTGTGGTAATTTTATAATTTGAATACCACGATTCTCCTATTGAACCGAGGAGAAGTGAAAGGCAAAGGAAAGAAAAATAGAGCTATGTCCTTCAAGTTGCTTTCATTCTGCCAATCAGTCCAAAGAGGGATGTCTTCAATACCTATTCATGGCACTTCTTGCAGTGATCTGAAATCTTCGTTTTGTGTATGCTAACTGTGAAGACTTAAAGTTACTGTATCTTAAATTACACTCCACACTCTTATTAGTACAACAAACATGACTCTCTTTTGGGAGTGGAAAAGTGTAGAGAGTAGTATTACACTCATGATTCAAGCTTGAGGAAGTAAATATATAGATTAATATAAAATGTTTTGGGGTGGTTTCTTAAATTTAGCTTAATTGTTTAAATTGTTTGGTATCTGTCTTTAATGCTAGTTGATTATAAAGCAATACTATTGAGATGGAATATGCGCAAAAAATAGCAATCCCATTTTGAGTAACTTACAAGGAACACAACATTTTAAGCCCGTAACTAAATCAATTAGCAAAAAAAAAAAAAAGGGCTATTGTTTTCTTAGTTGAAGGCAATAGGGATTTCTCTACTTAGCAAAACTCCACTTTTGCTCAGTGTGGAAGAAGATCCAAATTAGAGAAATTTCGAACTCAAGAGACGCTGCATTTTGGAAAGAAACAGTTAATGGTGAAATAAAATCAATATTATCTAATAATACTCCGGTCCTAATTGACTTGCCTTAAGGCTGTAAGGCAATTGGCTGTAAATGGATATTTCAAAGGAAATATGTCACAGATGGAACTATACGTACTTATAAGGTAAGACTAGTAGCAAAAGTATTTAGGCAAAAAGGAAAAAATGACTATTTTGATACTTATCAACTAGTGGATTGCTTCAATTAGAGTAATCCTATCTTTATCTTTTCTTTACAATTTGCATGTATATCAAATAAATGTTAAGATACCATTGTTAAATGGTGATTTGGATGAATAGGTGCACATCGAGCAACCGGAAGTTTTTGTGCTACCGGGTCATTAAAACAAAGTGTGTAAGTTAGTTAAGTTATTATATGGACTTAAACAAGCACCCAAACAATAACATGAGAAATTTGAATCTGTTTTACTTTCACATAATTTTAGATATAATCATGCTGATAAATGCATTTATACTGAAGTAAATGAGGAGTATATAGTGATTATTTGTCTAAACGTTGATGATATGTTCATTGTTAGTACCACAATGAAAGTTGTGATTGAGACTAATAAATATCTTTCTTCTAAGTTCCAAATGAAGGATTTTAGTGAAGTGATACTTTTTTAGAAATTAAGGTTAATAATATAGTGTGGGTTTTGTACTCTCTCAATTATATTATGTAAACAAGATACTAGAAAAATATCAACGCTTGAATGTGTAGGAATCATATTCTCCTTATGATCGTAGCATGAAACCTTGTGTAAATAAGGGTAAACCAATTGTGTAACTAGAGTATGCTAGTGTGATTGGAGGACTTATGTATGCTATGAGTTGTACAAGGCTAGATATTTCTTATGCAGTATATTACCTTGCAAGATTTACTCACTACCCTGGTGTGAAACATTGGAAAGTTATCATTTGAATCTTGAGATATCTTAAAAGAACCAAGGCTTTTGGGACTCGATTACCCAGTTTTCTAGTATTTTTTAGGGTTATTCTGATGCTTGTTGGATATCTGGAAGTAGTGAGAAACACTCCACCTGTGGTTGGTTATTTTTGCTTTGTGGAGGTCCTGTTTCTTAGGATCAAACAAACAAACGCATATAATTCATTCCACTATGGGATATGAGTTTGTAGTTTTATCCTCAATTTGTAAGGAGGCAGAATGGTTGAAAGATATTTTGTTGCATATAAAAATTTGGCCTAAACCTATCCCGCCGATAACCTTGCATTGTGACAGTGAAGCAAAAATGTCAAGAATAATGAATACAGTGTCCAATGTTAAATCTAGACATATTAGCGTAAGACATAAATATGTTAAAGAAATGTTAAACAATGATGTTGTCTTATTCTATTTGTTAGAACACACAAACTAGCGGATCTATTGGCTAAACCTCTTGAGAGAGAGTTGATGTTTTTGACAACATCTGGAATGAGATAAAAATTAAAACCTTTTATCTTAAATTACTAACAATAGACCCAACCTTCTACTAGTACACACCACTAAATTGAAAAGTTTAAAGGGTAATAACAAGTTGTTTAATAATTGTGAGCACCAAATCATTGCCTATGTTATTCCAAGTTATAGGTGTATTATGTTACTCTTAAGTGAGTAGGTTAAGAGCAATCTCTTAATGAAATTATTTATGAGTATTCAAGTACGGTTAAGTAATGAATTGGAATAACTTTTACCTATTTGACCATAGAATTGGTGCCGCTTCTAGCAAAGTTTGAGCTTATCTCTTGTAAATGGTCAAGAATCTAGGATGAGGATATGGCTAGTAATAATGTTAAATGGTAATGTGGATTACAAGGAATGGTATGAGTGTTGGCATGTGTATTATTTAGTCTTATTATAGCTTAATTTTGATTTACACAACGAGTCACCAATTACTTAACTAGTTTCGTGACTTGATTTCACTATTGTGTGGTTTAAAAATTCCAAGTTACCATATTTTCTGTGTAATTCTCATGTTTGTAGTGATTATTTTATATTACAAAGAGGGATAATGTTGAAAATTTTAGTTTGTAATATAAAAACAATAAACTTGGAATTTCAAGAATAAGTTACAAGAGTTTAGAACTCTTCACATAGGGTGGTGATCAAGGTTCGCAAAGTCAGATTTTAACAACATTGGTGGTGGTTATTGGCCTAATATCTAAGGGTTGTGTACTTATTTATGTTCTTTTAATCCAATAGTTGTACAAGTGATTGCCTATAAATAGGTCTACTACTGTAGGATTTCCTTCCAACCTTTTCATTACCGAAAATCGTACAGAACATTTAACAAGTTGCAAGTTGACTGTTTTTGTGTTCTTAATCCTAGAGCCAAATTGTCAATCAAAACCTATTTGCAATCTAATATGCGCATATATTGTCCTTAGGGCAGTGTTTGACACGCTTAAAATACTTTTAGTTCTTTTGTAAATTCCCTTTAGTTGTTAAATTTCATATTGTATCAATAAAGTTTATCTTTCTCGATCTTTGTTATTTGGTACATTTTATGTATTTTTGTTGTTACTACTCCTTTGTTTCTTTCAAGAAGACTTGGGGTCTTTTTTTTTTCTATATATTTATGTATGTGAAAAAAAAAAGAGACAAACCCTAGATGATGAAAAACAATTAAATTTAGATTACCCCCGGTAGATCGGCTTAGTTGAATTTATCATAAATCTTATTAAATTATTGACCAAAGATGTGAAACAGATTAAAAAAAACCAAAAAAAAAAAAAGTCAAAGGGAGCATGGTTTAGAGGTTCCTAGAGGGTTTTCGTTTCAAAGGAACTATGTATTATGGTACTATCGTAGTAATATTCTCTTAGATGGATTAGACGCATTTTCGCATGCAACAAAGATAATGACATCATAAAACTATATACAAGGAAAAAAACTGAATTCTTAATAATAAAAATAATTGTGGGTCATTCTGATTATTATTATACTATCTACAAAACAAAACAAAATAATCTTAGGAAATCTATCAGCTGTAAAAATATAATACTAATTTACAAATTTAGTGTAAGTACAAAATTAAATT